GGATTGCTTTAAAAAAGGCCTGGATTCTTTCTTAGATACACAGAATATCACTGGATACTTACATTTATAGGTAAAGTTGATCCAGGGAATATCCGATTGCCTCTCGGGGGATCAGGAAGGAGTTTTTTTTTCCAGCAGGAGCAAATTGGACATGCTTTGCTGGGTTTTTTGCCTTCATTTGGATCAACTTTGGGTATAGAATTATAGCTTTTTTTTTTTTTTAATGGTTGAACTGGATGGGCTTTTGTCTCTTTTCAGCCAGACTAACTATGTAACTGTATGCAAATACCTGTTCAGTCCCTGCATGGATAAGTACATCAAGGAGATCACAGAGGTAAGAGTACTCTTCAACCCCAGAAGGAAAAGGCTTGTATCTTTACTAGTAGGTCTTCTACTCCTGGGGTTCGAAAGGGTCTCTTTCCTCCATCCATCTTCCAATGGCTTGTCATCCATCTTCTAAAGGCTTGTTCACACCATACATACAAAAGAAAATGAAGGAAAAATGCACAAGTTTGACATGTAAAGAATATTATGAGGGCTTGTTCACACTGTAGAGACCTTCATTTTTTTGTTTAACGGTACAAAGGCAACTGTTTTTTTGCGTTACGCTGTAAATCTGTAGCGGTGTGGGACTAAAGCCTTGTTTTTAATTTTTTTTTTTTATAATGACAAACATGTAATACTCACCTACTCTGTGCAGTGGTTTTGCACAGAGTAGCGCCGATCCTCCTCCGATCGCCTGCTAGAGTTTCTGGCTCCTGCCCCCTGAGCAGTGCGCTCTTAGAAGGTTTCTTGCTAGGGGGGCACTGGTGCATGTGCTCGCTCCCTAGCCCCACTCTCTGCGTTTATAAGACACAGCAGACTGTGGCTCAGCCCCACTCCCTCTTCACATTCTGTGATTGACAGCAGAGGGAGCCATTGGTTGTGTCTCAGCTAATGAGAAGGGGGAGAATTGGGGCTCCTGTGTACGTCGCTGGACCAAGATCAGGCTCAGGTAAGTATTGGAGGCTAAGGGGGCTGCTGCACACTGAAGGTTTTTACCTTCGTGCATAGAATGCACGAAGGTAAAAAAGAAAAACCTTCAGCCTTTAGAACCACTTTAAAGCGGCAGTAAACCGCAAAATAAAGAAAAAAAAACCTGCAAGGTAATGTCATAATGTGCTATTGTGCATACTAGCACATTATGAGAGACTTACCTTAAAATGAAGCCCTCCTGCGGCTTGCTGTCACCGCTGACAGGTCTTCCATCTTCATCCGGTCTTCCTTCCGGGTTCACGAGCTCCGGCCGTCTGACTGGCTGAGTCACAGTGATGTCACTGCCACGCACGGGGCCATGGCTCAATGCTCTGAAGCAATGGCACGGGTATGCCATTCCTTCAGAGCGCATGCGCCAGCTATTATAAAGAGCAAATATCTCCTAAACCGTGCACGTTTAGGAGATATTCATTTTACCTACAGGTAAGCTTTATTATAGACTTACCTGTAGGTAAAAGATACAAAAGTGGGTTTACTTCCACATTAATACCCAACAGTATGTCATGGGGTGCATTTTGGCTTTCTCCAGTCTGGTGTGGAAATGGCTCCGCCAGGAAACATATCAGCCTTTTCCTTTTGAACCTGTCTGAGAGATTTCCTTATCGCTCCTTAGGCTCAAGGTTGTCTTTCTGGTAGCCATTATCTTGGCTTGCATGGTCTCAGACGTTACCTGTGCTTTCCTCCAAGGAACCTTTTCTGGTTCTTCACTAGGATAAAGGCGTGTTTAGGCTTCAATCTTCTTTCCTACCTAAGGTGTTTTTTTTTCCTTCCACCTGGGCCAAAACATTGTGTTCAATCTTCTTGCATTGACCCTGATCATCCTAAGGAAGAGGTTGTTCACTCTTTGGATGCTCACATTTATATGAAGTCCACAGTTTTGAAGGGTTATGCCTTGCTGTGAATCCATGCCTTTTTGTGGCCAGTGTCTGTTCACCAGAAGGTGGCAGCATAACCCAAGTAGTCCTAAATATCAAGTCTTCAGTTTCAAAATTTGTACAGGTAAACCAAAATGCTAACTTTTACCAGTGAAATCTGTTTCCTGGATTACAGTAGAGAACACAGAACCCTTCATCTGATCTCTTTATTGCTTGCTACAAAACTTGAAGCTAGCTGAGAGTGGGAAGGCTTGTTAAGGGGATATCGATGCAGTTTTGTTTTTTGGGTTTTTGTTTTCTTTTTTTACACCAATGCCCAGTCACCTAAAGGTACTTGTGTATATAGCCCAGTCTTAATGTAAAGAAGAAAGCGTCTTGTACTGTACTCTAGGAAATGTTTTTTGTTGACTAGTCAAAAATACTAGTATAAAAGAACAAATTTAAAATAATCTGTTTAGTTTGACAGGTTAACACCAAATAATCCTGCAAACTGTACTCTAGTTCTGGCCTAAGAGCAAGGAACATAGATTATGGTATAAGGTCATAAACTCTGTCATTTATATCGATAGAAGTTAATTATAGCAGTCAAAGTAGACTAAACACTTTTATCTTTAGTAATAATTTATTAGAACGAATACATATGTTTTCAAGACAGCTTCTTCATTCTAAAAATGGTAGCTCATTAAAAAATGTTTGTTTTACAACATAATTGGGAACAAAGTTAGCTTGGAGGGTTGTATGTTCACGAGCAGCGGGCTAAGTACATTTTCTATTATTGTAACATAGAACATCATTTGGCATTGAATTTACAACTGCAGGCTGTTTCAGCCATTGTTTTGTTTGTCCTTTGTAAGCGTTAAGTCAGATTTCCTGCGGGTTAAGATTTGAGTAACTGTGTTTAAGGAACTACTCTACTATTTAGGTCTAAAAGGCCACCATAACTCATAGTAGGATCTTGCATGTCCCTAACAATGTAGCTAGTTAAACACATTGTAATTCACAGCTTGTTATAGTAGTCTTGCCACCGCTAAAGCAGTACAAGTGAACAGAAAATTCAAAAACTCCATATTTCTTTTTTCTAGTAGTGCTATCAGCTTGTTGTATTAGGGGGGGTGAATTAAAGCACATTTATATGAAGACTGTATACTGAACTTTGAAAAATAGTTGTTCTGTTGATAGAATGAAAATAGTTAAAATTTTTATATTTAGGGAGTTTAGCAGACCCTTGTTTTAAGATTTCTAGGACTGCTACTACTTAAAGCGGAGTTCCACCCAAAAGTAGACACTCAGCTTGCTTGCACCGTCCCTCCACTGCCACGTTTGGCTCTTTTTTGGTGGGAGGGGAGAGCAGGTACCTAGTTTTGACAAGTATACCTGCTCCCACTTCCGGGCTCCGTTGACCGCGGCGAACTGGGCAGTAAGTTCACCCCCCCAAAGCTTCAGGGACACTTCACAGGTCCCAGAAGACTACGGGACCATTTGCAAGGCACAGCGAGACTCATGCATGTGCCAGTAGGAAACCGGCTGTAAAGCCGTAACTTCCGGTTTGACTTACTTGCCATGCCGGGAACCTGGAGACTAGTGAAGAACTAGCCCGGGTGAGGACGGCGCTGGACCCCTGGACATGTAAGTGTTGTTATATTAAAAATCAGCAGCTACAGAATTTGTGGCTGCAAACTTTTCATTTTTGAGGGGGGCTGGAGCTCCTCTCTAAGTCTAAGTAGAATCATGGAAAATAGCTGTTAGTAATTTTCATAGATAATGCTATTTCTAGCTTTCCAGTTGTTTTGGACATTTTTTTTTTTCTTGTACATAAATATTGTTCCAAATTATCAGATATTTCTTGTTGATGAACAAGTAAGCATGTACCCCTATAATGTATGTTTTATTGGCACATATAAATGTCAATCTTTTCATAATGGTAAAGGTATACACAGTGCCCACTGTCTTTACCATTTACACTAGTGCAGTGCCGACATGTGGACGACGCTGACCAATCAGAATCCATTTTGTCCGGCCTGAAAACACTGAAAGAGAAGAGGAAGAACTGGAATTACAAAAGAGTGGTTATTGCATAGGTAGAGACAGGTACTTTTGGGGCAGATGGATCTCTTCTTTTTTCTTTTTTTATTTCAAATTTAATTTAATGCTGCATGGCAAAATTTAGCAGAAATAAATTTTTTTTCTAAATTAGTTTTGCAGAAATAACTCCAGTTATCTCCACTAATAAGTTATAACATAGGAGAAACTTGTAGGGCATATTTGTAAAGCCTTGATTCTAGTGTATTGACAATGATGGCTCTTTAATATCCACTCGCTGACTGCGCCATAGCCGAAAGATGGTTACAGTGCAGTCTAGTGCTGGGAGAGCATCTATAGACGTCCTCCCAGATCCCTGCTCCCTGGATACGCTCTATGTTCACCGTGTCCTTTGGAGACAGCTGATCACAGATCGAGGTAAAGGGCCAATCACAGTGACCCTTTGCTATGCAATCAGCTGATCACATGTAAACAAACTTGACCGTTATTTCCTTTACTCACACGCTGTCATTGTGCAAGGAAAGGAACGCCAATAACCAGCAATTCTGACAGGACACATTTACACTGATATTCAGAGCACTGATTATCAGTGTAGCATATCAGTGCCACCACATCAGAGCACATCAGTGAAGAAGAAAAATTACTTCTTTACAAATTCTTATACCAGCAACCAAGAAAAAAAATTTTTTTTTTTTTTTAGATGTTCAGTCTTGTTACGTTTTGTTTAGTAAAAAAATAGAAAAACCTAGTGGTGAATAAAGCTCTATCTGTGTAAAAAAATAAATAAATTACATTTTCATATGGCTACAGTGTTGCATGATCACGCAATTGTCCTTCAAAGTGCAACACTAAAAGCTAAAAATCGGCCTTGGCAGGAAGGGTGTGAAAGTGCCAAGTATTGAAGTGGATATCGTGGGGAAAAATATTTGTACTTAACTTGCATCAGTTATTTGCCAGTATCTTTAAACCTAATTATTTCAGCATTTTACATTAGTTGTCTGCATCTGTGTCTTTATCTATTTGTGTTTTTTTTTTTTTTTTTTTTTAAAGAACATGGGGATTTCCTGGGTTCATGCCCTGAAGATGAAGTAATCAGCCCAGGAGACGACTGCATGGAATCAGTGTTGGATGACTCATTACTAGAAACCTGCCCAATTCAGTCTCCATTGCAAGTTTTTGCAGGGATGGGAGGGCTAGCCCTTATCGCTGAGCGACTTCCTATGCTTTACCCAGACGTCATTCAGCAAGTAAGACTTTATCCTATATTGTCATAACAGTGTTTCAGGTACTTAACATTTGCTAACAAAATTATTGTTTAAAGTGTTTTATTATGCCTGAAAATGCAATTGCTGATTAATTCCTTTGTGACCACAATACGTCTTACCTTAATCGTGCATTACATGACACAGAATATTCATATACCGTAAGCTATAGGAATTGACCTTTTCTCCTCCACTGAGAAAAGCACTCTCAGTTTAACCATCTTAGTTTCTTTCTTATTTTATCTTCTGATCCATCAATCAAACCCTCACAGTCTTCTAATGCCGGCATAGAAGCAGTGTATCCGGATCTGTAATCCTAATTAAAAGGTATGCGCTAATAACAAACTTATACAAAGGTGTAAATCATCATCCGAAAAAAAATTTAGTGTTTTAAATAAATAATTATAGTGTCCAAACATAAATTAGTGTCCAAAAAAAAAATATATATATATATTAGTGTCCAAAAAAAATATAATATATATATATATATATATATATATATATATATATATCTTCAGTGACGTGAACCAATTGTAAAAAAATCCACCACCAAAGGAGGTTAAATGAACTCACCAGAGCTAATGGCTGGTCAGATTATAAACCAGCAACAGCGCTTGTGCTCTGGGAGCAATGAACCCGATGTCCAAATAGATATGGTGATGTTTCAGACACTTCCAGATAATAATAATCACAGACAAAAAGCTTTGCAGCCAAAGCTCTTATGATGAACTGCTCCACTCTCTCATATCTCCATGAGAGCATACAGTACACTCAGGGACAAAAAAGAGAACATAATGGTGCAATACGTTTTTTTCATGTATCTCTTTAATAAAAAAGGTATAAGGAAACTCACAAACAAGGTGTCCAACAGACACCAGCTTCAATAGCAAAAAAAGGTGAGATACAAATACCGCTCACCGCGGAACTCTCCCATACAGCACAGAACAGCAAGGCTCTCTAACGTCCACATCAAGTAGGCCACGCCCAACTGGTTTCGTCACACCGACGTCATCAAGGGGCAGTACAAATGGGACCGTCAGACGGCTCTCATAAATACCACTTTTAAATTGGGAAACACCTGTTCAATCCTGCGTGATTAAGGAGAATAGGAACGCAGTGATTGGCTGGGTGGTAAAATTATGTAGATGAAGGGTGGTATTTATGAGAGCTGTCTGACGTTCCCATATATATATTTTTTTTGGACACTAATATTTTTTTTTTTTTTTTTTTTTTGGACACTAATTTATGTTTGATAATTTATTTAAAACACTAAATGTTTTTTTTTGGATGATGATATACACCTTTGTATAAGTTTGTTATTAGCGCATACCTTTTAATTAGGATTATTGTTGCCAAAATTTATTTTGGGTGGGTTATGCTGCTGACACTTTGGTGTTTTTTGTAAATGGCGCTTTTTTCTTTTTTAATTTGGTATCCGGATCTGTGCCACCTCAGTAAAAATTTGGGTTCCATACCCCCAATGCTGTGGAGACAGCCTGTAATGTTTCTTTGGGCACTGGATCCTGTTTAGTCACTCTCCTTGGCCCTTGGTGCAACACAAGGAGTTAGCTGCAGGGTTCTCTACAGGTCTAGGACTGTGGTCCACCATAATGGAACACAGTCAATGAAGACCCCTCCAGGAGTAAGCCCACCATGATGGGCGAAGCCTGGACTTTATATACAGTCCAGCATCGTGGACAGGTAAGACAGGGTCAGCCTCTCTGACCGTTACGGTAAAAGCCATCTGAGTTTGAAACATGTTCACTTCATAGTGCAAACTTTTCAAACTGTTTCTGTCCTAAACAAACATCAATGTTCCTAATGAAGATGTTCCTCCTTTCAAAGATTCTGCAAATAAAGTTTGAGACAAAAGCTTTCTTTAATCTTGCAGGCCCAGTCACAGGTTCTCTAAAAAAATGATCTTATGAAAAATTCCCCTCCCTTGCAGGTATCATATAATGTCAACAAGACAATTATGATGCTCCAGGCATTTGATGGGGTGATCAGTTTCAACAAATCTGCTCTCCAGCCTTCCCTTTGCTTGGATTACTTGGCTTTGGTCTTTGGCACATTTCAAGCAAAAGTCTTTCTCCTAGAAAAGAAAGTTCTTTCTTTAAAATCACATCCTTGAGAGTTGAAATCCAAGTGACATCCCGCATTGAGATCTCCATGAGAGTTTGGGCTAAACGGTAAACTCCTTTGATTTTCCTCATTCCATTCACAAACTAACAAAATATCTTGTCTGCTTGAAACGAGCAGGCTCTTTCTCTCGCTTTGCCAATGCTGTCAGTTAACCAAGGAACTCCCTGTCTTGGTATATCAGCACCCCAGCCCTATCGCTGAAAAGCTATCATAACAGATGCAAGTCTTTGAGAATGGGGAGAGTGTTCCAATTGTAACAGTCCAAGGAACTAATCACTTAGGGAAGCCAAGCTATTTAACGTCTTTGAGCTCAGAGCAGTCAGGATAGCCATGCAGCACTGGACCCCTTTGTAAAGGGGCACCCAATCAGGTTGCAACTGAAAAGCAAATTACCCACCATATGCTTAAATAATTGAAATGGTCCCTTCATCTGCTTAAACAAGGGGAATGGGCCCTTCACCCAGACATCTTCAATCTGATATGCCAAAAATGGGAGATTCCAGATGTGGACATCCTAATCTCCAGATTCAACAAAAAACTATTTATGTTGCCAGAACCAGGGATCCTCTATCTCTTGGCTCAGATGCCTTGACAGCCCACTGCACTCAGTGCAGGCTAACTTACACCGTTCCTCCAGTTCAAATCCTACCTTTTCTGCTCAAGAAAACAGAGATATAGCAAGACAGAAAAATGGTGATTCTAATTGCACCAAAGAACCTCGTACACAGACATACTCAGACTTGGCAGACTAGCAGACCTCTCCTAACTTGTTCCCAACATACCAGATCTGCACAAGGCCCTCTGGTTCATCCTGGTTCTCAGTCTCTGCCTTTAACATAGGGCTTGACAAATTTGCTTTGAATCTAGGAGCCAGCCAAAAAAAAAGTTAGGTGGCAGGTTTTTCTTTTTAATTAACAAAGCTTTTTTTGCTATACGACACTGCATTACTTTTGACAATTGCGCGGTCATGCAACACTGTACACAAATTACATTCATATAATTTTTTTCACACAAATAGATTTTTTTTTTTTTTATTTTATTTATTGCTCTATAAATGAAAAAAGACCTAAAATTTTATTAAACAATTTACTTTTTGCTATAAAACCTATCCCACAAAAATAGTTTCTGCATAAATTTAGGCCAAAATATATTCTGCTACATGTTTTTGGTTAAAAAAAAAATAAATATCCCAATAAGTGTATATCAATTGGTTTGCTTGAAAATTAGAGGGTCTAAAATGAGAGTATATATACTGGATTTTTTTTTTTAACTTATAGCAAGACTATGATAGTATGGCAGTCATTCTGACACTGGCTATCTGACACCGACATTACCAGTGACACTAATACAATGATCAGTGCTAGTAAAATATTTTGTCACTGTACTAATGACACTGGGTAGGAAGGGGATAAAATCTGGGGAAATCAAAGGGTTAACTGTGTGCCTAGTGGGTGTAATGTAACTGCCAGGGCCACTGTTAGAAATCATGGGCCCCCTACAGCCTACCTAATGGGGCTCCCAGCCCTGTCCCTGACCCCTCAGACCTGCCTAAAAAAAATGCAGCTTTGTCTTCAAGGGGGACAGAATGGGCCCTGGTGCTTAGTGGGGGGAGATGGAGGTCCTTGTCCTTAGTGGGCAGAGATAAAAGGTCCTAGTACTTAGTGGGGTGGAGATGGGGGGTACTAATGCTTAGTGTTGGGGGGGGGGGAACCTGGTACTTAGTATTGTAGATGGGGAGTCCTGCTGCCTAGTGGGAGTAGATGAGGGTCTTGGTGCTAGTTTGGGAGATGGGGAGGGCTTGGTGCTTAGTGGGGGGAAATAGGGGACCTACTACTTATTAGGGGGGGAAATGGGAGTTTTGGTGCTTGGTGGGGGAGTTGTGTTGTTTATTGGGGGTTAATGGGAGTCCTGCTGTTTAGTGTGTGTGTGCCTTTTGGGGCGGGGGGTCCTGCTGCCTAGTGGAGAGAAATGGGGGCTCCTGGTGCTTAGTGGGGGAGATGGGGATTTTGGAGCTTAGGTGGGGGGGATGGTAGGGCCCTGCTGCTTAGTGGGGGTAATGGGGAGTCCTGCTGCTTAGTGGGGGGTAATGGGGAGTCCTGCTGCTTAGTGGGGGAAATGGGGAGTCCTTCTGCTTAGTGGGGGGAAATGGGGAGTCCTGCTGCTTAGTGGGGGGAAATGGGGAGTCCTGCTGCTTAGTGGGGGGAAATGGCGGGTCCTGTTGCTTAGTGGGGGGAAAAGGGAGGTCCTGCTGCTTAGTGGGGGGAAAAGGGAGGTCCTTCTGCTTAGTTGGGAGAAGTGTTGAGTCCTGGTGCTTAGTGGGGGGAGATGGGGGTTTTTGTGCTTAGTGGGGGATATGGGGGTCCTGCTGCATAGTGGGGAAGATGGGGAGGTCTTGGTGCTTAGTAGGGGGGAAGGGGGGTCTTGGTGCTTAGTAGGGGGGAAGGGGGGTCTTGGTGCTTAGTGAGAAGAGATGGTGGGGTCTTGGTGCTTATTGGGGAGAGATGGGGGGGAGGGGTCCTGCTGCTTAGTGGGGGGAAATGGGAGGGTCCTGCTGCTTAGTGGAGAGAAATGGGTGGATCCTGCTTAGTGGGGGTAGATGGGGGTTTTGGAGCTTAGTGTGGGAGATGGGAAGTCTTGATGCATATTTGGTTAAGGTGTGTGTGTGGGGGGGTCCTACTGCTTAGTGGGGGGAAATGGCGGGTCCTGCTGCTTAGTGGGGGTAAAGGGGGAGTCCTGTTTCTTTGTTGGGAGATATGGGGGGGTCCTGGTGCTTAGTGGGGGATATGGAGGTCCTGGTGCTTAGTGGGGATATCGGGGGTCCTGCTGCATGGCGGGGGAGATGGGGAGGTGCTAATAGGGGGACACGGGTGGTCTTGCTACTTAGTGGGGAGAGATGGGGGGGATCCTGCTGCTCAGTGGGGGGAGAAGGGGGTCCTGGTGCTGGTTGGGGGCACTGTTAATCAGTGGGGGAGGGGGGGGAAACGGGTGCTCAGTACCTGGCTGCTTGATCCATCTGGAATCCTGTAGTAGAATCATCCCCCTCTCATGTTTCTTGTCTGCTGATTTTTCTCATGTGAAGTGAGGCTGGGGATGCCAGTGCAATGATAGCTCAGATGATCTCACAAAATTGCTGAAATCAAAAGAAAACCACCTCTGCTCATTTCTCTGCCAGGCTCTGACTGGTGACTCATCTAATGCAGAGGAAGCCAGTGGTGGAAGTGCCACTTTGTTGATACTTTTTGTTTACGTGGCTGTGCTCTCACTGCAGAGGCATCCCTGGGATCCCTGCAGGCATGCTGGCCACAGGAGAAGTGAGACCGCTGTCACTTCTCCTGTCATCGCCCCTCCCTTCCCGTGCCTGGGGCCCTCTGGATGCAAAGATGGTCGTCCCCCCCCCCCCCCCCCCAAGGCTCAGAGAAAGAGTTACCACCTGTGGAGCCACTGTTTTATTAACCTCCCTTGCAGTCTGATTATGTCAATATTTCTGTGCTCAAAGCTGTACATTTTTTTTTGCATGGAAATATGTTGTTTTTTTATTGTAGGCCTGTAATTCTTAGGAATAACTCAGTGAAATCTGTCCGAACAAGAGTCTAGTAAACTTCCCGGGTATGATAAAATTTGAAACATGAAATCATGAATTATATAATCATAAAAAATAATAAATTTAATTCAATAATGTAATCAAACCAAAAACACTGAAATTTGAAATAGAGTGACAAGTTCGTGAGCTTAGTCTCAAAATCGTTTTCTGTGACTGATGACAAATTTCCCCACCAATCATCACTCAATTCTGCAAGTGGTTCTAATTTACTATCGCTGTTCTCTAGCTGGTCTAAAATCGCTTTTGACCTAAAGGGACGCTTTTTGGACGCCATGGACCTTTCTCAGTTTCCAGGCAGAAAGAACAGTAAAAATGCCGGCAGGGCACAGGACAAAGCACTAGGGACAAAATGTACGTGAAATGGTTTGATACAGTAATGTTATACTATGAGATTTTAGTGTATTTAGTGAATGTCACTTTTAAAATTTTTGAATTTCCCACCGGTCCCGTCCCCTGTATGTCCCAACATTCGCAGGGAACGGAAGATGGATGCCGGAGGTGATGGCCGAGGATGTTGCGGGGGGGGACATCGCGGGAGCGCAGGACAAGGTAAGTGCTGGAGGGAATCTCTGAGCAACGCAAGGGTAATCCCAAGTGTAGCTTGGGGTTATCGCTTTTGGTACTGAAAGTTAACCCTGAGCTACACTTGGGAATACCGCCAGGGGGATTAAGGGATGTGCCCTTAATTTTTAGTTTTGGCAGGGGGGTTCCCCTCAAAATCCATACCAGACTTGTTTTTTAAATTATTTTTTTATTTGCCAAGCAATTCTTTCTTTTACATTCAGCTGTCCGTGGGGAACCCCGCTGACAGCTGAAACATTACCACAGGGTTTTCACTACTAAAATACCGCATGACTTGATAAAATAACTCATGCAGTATTTTAGTAGCGTTTTCTGATGAATTCAAACTTTTTTTTAAAAAAAAAAAAAAAAAAAATGCTTTGCGGTATCCTACCGCATACTCTGATGCGGTAAGATACCGCTTAGTGAGTTGTGCCCAGTGAGCCAATCACCGGGCCCCCTACTGACCTCGGGCAATGCCCGAATGGTCAGTCCGCCCCTGGATGTGCCAGTCTGAGACAAAAGCCCAGCACATCCCAGCTGTCAGTAGAGAGATCTGTGTTGTTTACAACACAGATCTTTCTCGTGTCAATCGATCCAAAGATCAGCAGGCCTGGCCATGACTCATTAGCTGGGACCCGGTGATCAGCATGTAAGGGAGCCATTGAGACTGCAGCCAGGTGAGCGCGACGCCCCTTACCAGGAAATGCGTTTGGTGCCAACAGCAAGAAAAGCTCCTCCCAGGAAGATCTGTTTTCACACCTGGAGGTTCTTTTTTTCCTAGTGAGGCATAGGCATCACAGTCCCAGAGATGTTGTACTTTGCATTCCGACAATCAGATCTAGACCAGAACGTAGCCATAAGTGCCCTTAAAAACAGATCCCCTCCTTATCTGTTCTTTTTCAAAGGTCCCCAACTACAGTCTCCAAGATGTATCTTGTATCAATTCCCCCTTGCAGCACCCTGTGGATCTCAACTTTTGTTTTTTTCTCCCAAGAAACCACTCTTTGAGCCCATCAGGTATATGCCCCTAGAGTAGTGATTCTTAATCTTTTTTGAGTCAAGGACCCCTTTAAGAACCTGATGTAAGCTTTTCATTTCTATCATTGGGAATCCATTGATTGGGGGCTAGGGGAGGGCTGTATAGTGAATGTAAATTATATTTTTTATCTGACCCTTAAGGACCCCCTGAAACCCTTCCATCGATCCCAGGTTAAGAACCCCTGCCCTAGAGGATCTCTCATGCAAAGTAGCCTTTTTGGTCGCACTCATCCCTACCAGATGTGCTTCTGAATTGGCGGTTCTTTCCTGTAAAGAGCCCATCGTCCTACTTCACAATGATAAGGTTTTCTTACACTCAAAGCCATCCTTTATTTTTAAAGGTGGCCGCCGCATTCCACCTCAATGAGGATATTATCATCCAATTATTATTCCTTTCTCCTAAACATGCAAAGGAAATCTCTAATATTGCTTATACTAATGGCACAGACTATGTTCAAGCAATGTATAACTGTTGAGAGGTGGATATTTTTTTTTATTTTTTTTTTAAGTAAACCAGGAAGGATCCAATAAAATGTAAGGACAGCATGCAGAAAACTTAGACAAATATAATAAAAAAAAAATCAATATAAAAATATAAACTTGGCCTACTCTAAAAGTTAGCTTCAGTGAGAAACTTGGCATTCATTATTATTCACAATTTTGTTCATGTCTGGGGAGTAATTGGTCAACAAGTCTGATGCGAATTCTGTCATGAAAGCAGAACTGGTATTGTAGGTTGACTTACCTGACTAGTTTCAGTCTGGACTGGCCCCAGTTTTGGGCCAACAGGCTGGGTTAAGTTCTGGCCAATGTAAGTAGTATGTAGTGCAGTGTACATGGATCAGTAGTATGTAATTGCAGAGTACAGAGATTAGTAGTATGTGGCGCAGTGTACAGGTATCAGTAACTTGTAGAGAAGTGTACTGGGGTCAGTATTTTTTTTTTTTTTTTTTAGGACAGAGTACAAAAGGCAGCAGTTTATAGGGCAGATTATATGGAGTAGGCAGACCAGAGGACAGGGGATCTAGGACTGATATTTCCCTCATATGTAGTGCAGCGAACTGGCAGTGACACATTGGTTTTCTGGCGTGCTGGCCCTCCTTTTGTCCATTTCGTATGATGTCACTTACAAGTGCCTGGGATGAACAGGAGAGGAGGGCGGGAGGGGACCAGTGCAGTACACTTCAGGATGACGCTTCCCTAAATACTCTGCAGGTGGGGGAGAAGCACTTCTGACAGAGGCTCGGAAAGGCTGGTATGGTATCTACCCATCACTTGCCTGTGATCGATGAGTTGCCAACCCTTACATTTGAGTATACCTCAGATGGATAAATTCCCTCTTTGTCCTGTTTAATGGACCTCACAAGGGACACCCTGCTTCAAAGTTCACCATTGCGTGAGGGATACGAAATCTGATTGCAAGAGCTTACAGTCTAAAAGAGAAATCTCCTGTGCTTTTACATGCCTATTCTAACAGATCAGAGGGAAGTTTATGGGCATTTTGGCACCAAGCCTTTGTAGCCCAATTGTTTAAGGCTGCCACCTGGTCTTCAGTTAATACTTTTTCAAAGTTTTACTGGGTGTGATTCCGCTGATGCAGCTTTTGGCAGCAAAATTCTCAGTGGCTTCCTGATGTTGGGTCTTGTGACCTTGTTTTTGGGCCTTTTGGCACAGTTCTCTTTGCCTCCTTGTTGCCCACTGTTCATTGCTTGGGAAAGTCCTATGGTGTATGAATATTCTGCCTGTATCTTGTTCTCAGACCTTCTGTAAAACTAAAAAAATTTAGCAGTGTCACTAAACTTGACAATAACAAACTTAGTCTGAGTTGAGCTTCCAAAAGCTCTGATCATGATCATTTTAAAATGTTTCTTCAGGACTAATGGGGAATTTTTTGTTTGTTTTTGGGGATTGTTGAGCGAGATTAAGTATTTCTTGAATGCAATTTTGTATATATCTATCTAAGTGCTGCTTGTAAACAGTTGTAGATACTTTATTTAGCATCAGTTTTTATAACATGTGGTTGTTTGCTTCATGAGCCTCTAGCATCATGCAGTAGACTTTCAAAGCTTTCATGCTGTGTGGCATTTTATAATCTCAGTGAGGGAAAATGCATTTTCAACAAAATACTTGGGACCCATTCACACTAGCAGCGTGCATTATCATGCAACTAGTTTATGCTATGATGACATTTTTTTAAAACTTTACTTAACTGTCACAAAATGACATTTAAATAATTCTTATGCAGTATGTTTCAACATGCTGCTCTGCATAAAAAATGCAACATGTCCTACTTTTTTTTTTTTTTTTTTCAACACAGACCACTGCAGTTCAGTGGTGTGAACTAAATTCATAGGCATCAAGGCAAACTTCCCAGCACAGCCCAACACATATGGTCTGAACAGGCCCTCAATACCTGGCATTTCAAACTCAATTGCCACAGTAACTCCCTATGTTGTTGTTTTGTGAACCCCACTTGTCTCAATGCAATATATCATGACACTTTGAAAATTATTGTAAAGTCTACAATTTTTTGTCTTTTATAGGTGAGTACTCCTGTTGTAACTTCCACAACACAGGAAAAACCAAAGGACAGTGATCAGTTTGAGTGGGTTACTATTGAACAGTCTGGAGAGTTGGTTTATGAAGCTCCAGAAACTATTGCTTCAGAGCCTCCCCCAATCAAGTCAGCTGTGCAAACCATGTCCCCCATTCCTGCTCACTCCCTGGCTGCGTTTGGTCTTTTCCTTCGTCTTCCGGGGTATGCTGAGGTTCTGCTCAAGGAGAGGAAACATGCACAATGTCTACTCCGCCTGGTACTTGGAGTTACAGATGATGGAGAAGGAAGTGAGTATCATGTTAAGATCTCAGCACTCACTGTAATATATACATCCAAGAAGAGTTAAGATATAATACTTTTAACACAATTGTGATTTTTTTTTTCTGTTTTCTAATCCCTGTGTACTAGGGTTTCTGTGTTTTTAAATTGACAAACCACTTTTTAGTGATCCACTTTAGTCTAATGTTGGTAAACGCAGAGGAAAAATCTGTTTAAAAAGTCTTAGTTGCTTTTTCTTTTGGTGTGCATTTTAGTATGTATATAGTGCCAATTTATGAATCGTTCTAGACCGCTAATTTAGCATAAGGCCTCATGCACACTAGGTGTTCTTACAGCTGCTGTTTTGGGCGTCAGACATTTTTTTCCTACAGCCTGTAAGCCCCCCAGCATATTAACCTATGTGTCCATGCGCACATAGGCTTTTATCAGCATATTTTGGCAGGGACGTTTTCAGGGGGAAAAAAAAAAAACAGAACTACCGCATTTGAAGAGTTTTTTTTGCTGTAAAAATGCTCTAACGCTGCAAACATGACTATTCTTTATGAGCGTTTTTGAGCCTCAAGTCTTCGTGGGAGTATAGTTTTGCTAAAAACTGCAAAAAACACTAATGTAAAAGCGCTTCAGAACTTGAGTTTTTAATGCGGCATTCTACAGCCAATGCCACTGGTGTTTTTATAACATCCAGTGTGCTTGAGGTCTAAGTGTTAACACTTACCTGGGTTGTTTTTGTGGTTCTGTGCTTAATGAGCCAGCTTACAAACATGGCTTGTATGCTGTATGTAGCATTTCAGAATCTCAGGAATGAGAATTGCAGTTGCACAGAATAATTAACATGTGGTATGTTAAACTTCAACAGAACCAAATTCCAGGGATTGTCCATCAGAAGTTGAAAACAGCGTGGCCGTGTGGGACTCCACCCACACAGACACGTCACTCATTCACGGACTTCCATGAATGGATTAATGCAAGTCCTGCCACTCTTATCGACTGTGGGCTTGTAGTTTTCAATGAACTAACACGGCGCTGTAGAGCACCATGGTAGTTTATTGAGGTTTTCTGTCAGAATTCTGACAAGTCTGCAGGAGACCCACATGGCAAAAGTGATCTACTGATCACTGGTGCAATGCTTTCCAGGCTCCTTTGGACAAAAATAGATGCACATGTAATATAACTAAATTACCTCCAAGACCTCATAGAGTGCTAAAGTAGGGAAATGTTTCTTATGCAATATGCAGGGTAGAGTGTACACCCTTCTACTCATAACCAGTAAAGTATGATCAACACTCTCTCGAAGACTTTGTAACATCATGAGATTTTGTGTTTGATGTCCATTGCGATGCTTTAGCATCCCAAATCAGCACACCGCAGGTTAAAAATTAAACAGGACTAAGGTTATAATTTTATCTTTTTAGGACCATTATGTTAATTTAAAGGAAATATGTGTTTCACAAGGATGCACTCTTTAGTACAGGCATTTTAACTGATGCCTGCTTCCAGACATACTGTCTCCAGTAAAAGAGGGTCACTTATTCACCCCTGAAGAGTTCCTTATCCTGTTAATTGATATGTATTTCCTACTACAGTTCAAGATAGTGCTTTCAATGAAGTTCAGTAACTCATAACTACCACACTGCACATTACACAATTATGCTAAAAAAACTTAAGGAAACTGGTTGCGTGGATATACAATTCAGGAAATCACATTGTATGATTTTTAAAGAATTTGTCTTGCACTGCTGAACATAAGTATTTGAACACCTGAGAAAATCAGTGTTAATATTTTGGCCTTTGTTTGCAATTACAGAGGTCAAACGTTTCCTGTAGTTCTTGACCAGGTTTGCACACACTGCAACAGGGATTTTGGCCCACTCCTCCACACAGATCTCCTCTAGATCTGTCAGGTTTTGGGGCTGTCGCTGAGCAACACAGAGTTGAAGCTCCCTCCAAAGATGTTCTATTGGATTTAGGTCTGGAGACTGGCTAGGCCACTCCAGAACCTTGATATGCTTCTTACAGAGCCACTTCTTGGTTATCCTGGCTGTGTGCTTCGGGTCGTTGTCATGTTGGAAGACCCAGCCACAACCCATCTTCAATGTTCTGACTGAGGGAAGGAGGTTGTTGCTCAGAATCTCATAATAAATGGTCCCATTCATCCTCTCCTTTATACAGTGCAGTCGTCCTGTCCCCTTTGCAGAAAAGCACCCCCAAAGCATGATGTTACCACCCCCATGCTTCACAGTAGGGATGGTGTTCTTGGGATGCAACTCATCCTTCTTTTTCCTCCAAACACGACGAGTGAGGTTTAGACCAAAAAGTTCTACTTTGGTCTCATCTGAACACATGACTTTCTCCCATGTCTCCTCTGGATCATCCAGATGGTCATTGGCAAACTTCAGACGGGCCTGGACTTGCGATAACATGAGCAGGGGAACCTTCTGTGCAATGCATGATTTGAAACCATGACGGCGTAGTGTTCTACCGACAGTGACCTTTGAAACTGTGGTCCCAGCTCTCTTCGTGTCATTGACCAGCTCCTCCCTTGTAGTTCTGGGCTGATTCCTCACCTTTCTTATCAGTGATACCCCATGAGGTGAGATTTTGCATGGAGCCCCAGTCCGAGGGAGACCAACAGTCGTCTTTAGCCTCTTCCATTTTCTAACAATTGCTCCAACAGTTGATCTATTTTCACCAAGCTGCTTGGCAATTGCCCCATAGTCCTTTCCAGCCTTGTGGAGGACCACAACTTTGTCTCTGGTGTCTTGACAGCTCTTTGATCTTGCCCATGGTAGTAGTTGGCGTCTGACTGACTGTGGGGTGGACAGGTGTCTTTAAAGAGCTCAGACGAGTTAGATGAGTGGAGTAGAGGTGGACTTTTTAAAGACACAGTAACAGGTCTTTGAGAGCCAGAATTCTTCCTGTTTCTTAGGTTTTCAAATACTTATGTTCAGCAGTGCAAGACAAATTCTTTAAAAATCATACAATGTGATTTCCTAAATTTTTTTTTTAAAAATCTGTCTCTCAGAGTGGGAATGCGCCTACAATGTGAATTTCAGACCCCTTCGTGATTTCTAAGTGGGAGAACTTGCAAAATCGCAGGGTGTTCAAATACTTCTGTTCCTCACTGTATATAACAAAAGTATAAATATGCATTTGGACTATGTATCAGATCCAGACACGAGTGTCATGATCACTAAGCATTGTAAAATATTTTCATCACATTTGGCATATTTGTATATTGTAGATCGTGTTGCCAAGTCTGAACATGCTTATGGCAATTAGCTTCACATGCAACAAACCTCGCACAATGCATTTGAATGGGAGGGAGGGAAGGAGGCATCTGTTAGAACCCAAAGAATATAAAGTCTGCTTTCCGTATTTCAGTGATTGTCCATATTTGTGGGAACCAATTGCAGACTTAAGGCAGGGATTGACAAATTTGCTTTGAATCTAGGAGCCAGCTAAAAAATTTAGGAGGCAGGTTTTTTTTTTTTTTTTTTTTGGCGTATCGTAGGTTGTCAGCATCTGCAAATTCACACTATGCCAGTTGCCACGCGACAGTCATGGCAAAACCGTACCACATTTTAGGTGCCATTAAAAATAATGGCACATGAACCTGCATTTTGAGATCACAGCGATTCTGCTGCAATCCCAAAACGCCCAGGTAAATTTAGCTGCCCTGGTTTACACACATACGATTCTGGATTCATTTTGAAACTCAAGATTTGCATGGCAGGCTAGATATTTTGTGTTTCTAATGAGTTGGTACACACAGCTGCAATCTACACGCATTGTGTTTTGAGTGCCATTATGAAAAGGGTGTAACGGTGCATTCCAGACTTGCAAATGATAAAAGTAGAGTGGCATGCAGGAATAACTGTTCACATAGAATTGCTATTGACAGGAGTTTTCAGATTGAAGTCTATGGGAGGCATTTTTGCATTGATATCCATGGGAGGCAGTGTGTGAACCGAGGCCCCAGAATGCAATTTCTAGTTGCCTTGGCTACCTGGCACCTGGGAGTTGTCGAGCTTAGACTTAAGTTTTGTTCCAGATTTGTTTTTCTGGCCCCTAGAGTAGAGGAGTACTTTTTAATTATTTGGTATGTTTAGAGTGGTAATAAACACAAAAAAAGTCAAAAACAACAATCCTCAAATGTGTTGTTTGTATATTTCTGTTTTTATAGGCTTTTTTTTTTTCACTTTCCTTATTACTTGGTGATCTGGCCAATAGCACACTTCCTGTCTTAGGTTGTCTCCACTCCACTGGAGAAGCAACAGAGGCGCCTTAGCAGATTTACTGGCCAGATCAACAGGTGACCATAATGGTAAAAGAGGAAACTAATGCAGCCCCTATCGCAAATAATTATTAGGCTGCTTTATATTACATTGTCACTTTTGTGTTTATTACAGCTTTAACCATTTTGTGGTAAACCACTATTTTGCTTGTGCATATCTCTTTTGTAAATTTTGTATACATGCACAATCCCCCTTATTTGAGATAATATACTGTAAAACAAATAAGTAAGCCTTTTGATTGTTCTAAAGTGCTCCCAAATTTTTATATGCTTCAATTTAAGGGACTGGCTTAGCTAACCATTCAACTTCTTTAGAAAGCAGCATGTGTATTGACAAAAAAATTTGTATTGCTAGCCTTTTAAGTTCTAGATAGCAGAATTTTCTTCTACGATTTAAATCTCAACATTCAAGTTGCTTTATCACAGCTTCAAACCAGCTTTTTTTCTAATCAATTAAGTGGCACAGGATTGTAAAATAGTTATGCTTCTGCCTTCAGGAGGGTTGGACACTGCCACAATGAAAATATATAAGCCAGCCTATGCATAACTGTGCTCTCAACCATTATGCCTCAGTATTTTGCTAGTGTTCAAGGAGACTGGATGCCTTTTCCTCAGCACTGCTGTGGAAAACACAGATTATTTTTTTTTTTGCTATAATTTTCTCTCTTCTGTCAATATATCTATAAAATCACAGATATTTATTTGGCAACTTCTGTTTAAACAAGCTGTGTGCACTTGTCTCTTCACAACAACTCTGCGGTTCGCCTAATCATCTTCAACATTTTGGAGGATGCACCCATACCCCACTGAACAAAAGATCACATGATTAGCCTAGAATGGGACCTTGCAGTACTGGGCTCAGCCTGGGGTACTTTCCAGATCCTGATGTATTGTACTAGCCACAGTGATCTCTGGGTCCTGAGTTGTGGCACTGCCTCAACTGTCAAAACCAAGGTGTTATCCTGCACTATGTCCTGCTGCACATGCTTTGTCCTCTCACTAAACCGCAGCACAACTCATTTGGTTTTACTGCCTCAACTGTGACCCAGCCTCTGAAAGCTCTTTGTGAGTAAAACTCTGGTCGGAGGACAGATAAAACCATATGAGTCATCTTCGGGCACTGAGCTCTGTATTGTGGCATTTTCAAGACTTTCGGTTCTGTGTCCGTTCACCACAGAGCATGGTCTCCAGATCGAAATCCAAATCAAGACCGTTGTTGTGGCTCAGTCTGATTATTTTCAATTTGAATCCGCTCTACAGGCTGGAACATGTACCCGTCAGGCAGGTACATGAAACTGCCAGGGCCCAGCAATGAGGTTTTGCGTTTCCATACTGGACACTCCTTACTCATTGTGCTCCCTCCACGTCCACTGCACCTGTGATGCTGAGAGACACTTGGTCAAGGAATTTTTTGCTGTGGACTAGACCCCATCCTCGTCTGCCTAACTGTTGATTGACAGCATATGGCAGTGGACAGATCCATAACCCCTGTACAATTTTGTAGCAACGTTCGAATCTGCCCACTACCATCCACAGTCAATCAAAAGTAAGGCGGACTTGATAGGAAACTAGCCTTAGTTCCCCATCAGGCTCTGCCAACCCAGTAACAAGTCTCTTCCCAACTATGGACATTGCTAAATTTGAGTGATGGCATTGCCAGTATCCCCAGGCCCTTTGTTTACATTTGGCATTTCAGCTGAACGGGACAAGGGATTGAGCCCTGTGTGGGAAGCTTTCACATACATGACAGTTTACCAGCACAGACATGCCCCACTCTGACACCTGGCATCCTTGTGTATGTTAGCTCAAAGAATCTGTTGCTGCCATGGCAACAGGTTCTCAAAGTGGCAGTAGTTAGAACCTGAATTTGATGCATGCGTTGGTAGTGTAAACTAAACTGGTGCAAATGCTTACCTGAATTAGGTACATGCATTTGTAATGGAAACAATTTCCAGAAAAGTGATATTTATACTTTATTGAATTCCCCAATCTCTTCCTATGTAGAACTTTGGAATTCTTTCCTGCTTTCCATGGAACTAGGGTTTTGAGGGTTATTATGGTGTGTGACCTTCTCTTAGCACTCTTATCATAGTGCTATCGGCACATCATACTGTGGCTACAGAGCTGCTTTAGAGCCGCGGCGCAATTCAGTGTGTCCCAGTCTCTTCACATCCATCCATTTAGCACTTAGGCATTAATTTCAGTGGCCAAAATAAATTATTCTAGCCACTAAAATGAATTAACGCCTAAACGTGCCTATGCGCATTTACAAGTGTCAACCGGTTTTGTTTTTTTTGCCAACATGCTGCTGCTAGGAGGAAAGGCATCAAGGTGAGATGGTCAAACATCCAGTGTGCATGATGCTTGAAAGCTACTTCCTGTAAGAGCTATCATCAGGCATATCCTTCAGTTATTTCATTTAGTGTGAGTCTCTGGGCTTCCACCCTAAAAGTATTTTTGTGGGGTGAGTCCCCTCCTTCCTGTAGCTGGGTTTTGACCAGCATTTTGCTAACAGCACTATCAAGAGCTGTTTTCTTCTCCTCTGTACTCTCACCCACTAGGTGGTTTCCCTTGTAGCTATCACCTCTGTGAGGTGAAACTGTGAACCAGTGGCCTTATCCTGAAAGGAACCTTTCCTGGTTTTGCATAGGGACAAGGTAGTATGGAGGTCTGGGACTTCCTTCTTTGCCTAATGTGATTTCAGCAGTTCACAACAAACCAGGGCATTTTTCTGTCCCTGTGTGCTCCAGTTCACCAAAAAGAATTTAGATGAATGTGTTTTTAGGCTGTGGGATTCTTTCTCTCAGCTACTTTTTTTTTTCTCCCAGATAGTCAGATTCCCCCTTTTTGATTCCAGGTAGTCTGTGTGAGGGTGCATCGGACTTGTTCCATTGTGTTTATGTGGTTTAGACAGACTATCATCTAGACCTATGGTCTCAAGGACTGGGTTCCATTCATTCTTGTTAAGGTGCACTCTACTAGATCTGCAAATGCCTTACTGGACTTTACAAGTGGTTTCCTAACTTTGCAAGGCTGCCACCTTGTCTTTCCGCACATTCTCAAAGTTCTACCAAGTGGATGCTTCTGCCCTCCTGATGCAGCTTTTTGAGCTGCAGGTGGTTCTTAGTTCTGATGTTCCTTCTTTGGCCTGTTAGCATTTGTTTGCTGTGTTGTCCACCCTTCTGACTGCTTTTAAACTCCTCAAAGGTTAAAGACTTCTGTCTCACTCCATGGACAAGAAAAAACGGATTTTATGGTGAATCCAAAAATTCTATTCTTGGAGTCCATTGCGTAATAAAGGTCACGCAACTCTGTTTATAATCAAGCTCTCTGTACTGCATTCTTGCAAAACTGAGGCATTCTAGTAATGGGAGGAGGTCTTCTTGGCTGGCCCCAAATTGATTTGGGTTCTATCCTCCTTTTGCTGGCAGTATATCCTGAAGTTTAACCGTTTACCTACAGGGCACTTATACCCCCTTCCTGCCCAGGCCAATTTCCAGGTCTGAGCGCCGTCACACTTTGAATGATAATTGTGCGGTCATGCAACACTGTACCCATGTGAAATTTTTATCATTTTTTTGTGACAGACAGAGCTTTATTTTTGTGGTATTTAATCACTTCTGGGTTTTTTATTTTTTCTTAAACCAAAAACCACAAAAAATTTTGAAAAAAAAAAAAACGTTTTTTGTTATAAAATTTTGTAAATAAGTGATTTTTCTCCTTCACTGATGTGCGCTAATGAGGCTGCAGTGATGGGCACTGATAGGCTGCACTGATGGACACTGATAGGTGGCACTGAGGCACTGGTAGGTGGCATTGATGGGCATTGGCAGGCATCACTGATGGGCACTGATAGGTGGCTCTGATTGGCAGCACTGATAGGCATTGATAGGTGGCACTGATGGGTGACACTGAAAGGCAGCTCAGATTGGCATTGATGTGCACTGGCACGTGGCACTGTTCAGCACTGTCAGCTGGCACTGATGGACACTGACAGGTGGCACTTCTGGGGCCACACTGATCATCAGGGCACATTGATCATCATTGCTCTGATGATCTGTGCACATGTCCCCTCCGATGAATGCCAATTACCAGCTCTCCTCTCGAGCTGTCAGCGTGACAGCTCATGAGGAGAGAAATGCCAATAACCGGCATTTCCCTGTTTACATGTGATCAGCTGTGATTGGACACAGCTGATCACATGACCGAGCCGACATCTTCGGCTCTTTCCGTGGATCGGTGATCCGCTGTGTCCCAGGGACACAGCGCACCACCGATCGCTGCGCTGAGAATGGGAGGACATCATATGACGTCCTCCCAGAACGAGAGAACCACCTTGCGTCCGTCATTGGACTATATGGCGGGTGGGAGCTGGTTACAGACGCGTGTCCCTTAGTGGACTCCAAGGAAAGGATTCTATAGGGAGTGCAACATCTTTTTTTATTTACTGTAGAAAATATTTATTCTGTGCACTAATAATTTTCTGTGTTCCTTCTCATTAGGTCACATCTTACAGTCCCCGTCTGCAAATGTTCTACCAACTCTTCCATTCCATGTCCTACGCACTTTATTCAGCTCTATGCCACTCACTACAGATGATGGTGTGCTCCTGCGACGCATGGCACTTGAAATTGGGGCGTTGCATCTCATTCTTGCATGTTTATCTGCCTTAAGTCACCATGCACCCCGGATTCCCAACTCAAGCTCTAATCAGACAGAGGTATGTGTGATAGTGGAAAACAATATTTTGTTAAGTCAAATGAAAAAGCTTTGTTTTGACCTTCACCATTTAGTTGTTACAGGCCCTCTGTAGCAAAACAAAGTTATTGTATTTTGGCATCTGTATGCCATTAATACCTGATATGAAAGTGTTCAGTAGATGAATTCCTTCTGGTTTTTTTTTTAATCAGACCTTTATAGTTTTCTCCAACTTCTGATGTATGCCAAACTTTTACGTTTACATTATTACATGCGTTTACATTATTACATGCGTGTATGTGGGGCAGCCTCAATTTTTTTTTGAGTGGGGGATGGTTTCTGCTTGGGTGCAACTTTTGTTTTTTTGCAATATAATTATTTTTTTTTTCTTTAACCTAATTTTTTTTTTTCATCACAGGGACAGAGTCCCCATATGTGATTTTTAGGTCACAGGTTCTCTTTGAGACATGAAGGGTCCCTGCATTTCTCCTCTGGGCTCCACTGAATGTATTGCAATGCAGGTCGTGACGGGTGACCTGGAAGTGATGACATACATGTCGCTTTCCGGGTCACAGCAAGAAGTGGCGGAGAGTGGATATGCGTCCGCTCTCCTCTGTCCCTGGCACCCGTCATGTCTGCCTTTCAGTTTTATACACAATCCCAGTGGCTGCTGCCACCGGATTGTGTGTAAATCCCCCCATTGTCAGGTCTGTGCTGTGTACGGACCTGGCAGCGAAAGGGATAAAGGCGTGATCATTTCTAGACCAAAGGAACAGAGATTGACCCCTAAAATTATAAATGTGTTGTAACTTATATTAATAGTTTGTAAATCTCACCCAGCAACACTGCTTCAATATACTGCTCTTCTCCTGAAAGTGAAATTGACTGTGACCTAGGCAGAACATTTTGTATTCAGCCTTCTCACTCAAGATGCTTATGTTTTGTCGCAGCAAAACAGGTTGTACACAGTTTATTCAAACTCGGCTCACATATGCCTTTTTTGGCAGACAATACCAGTTTAAAAGGTAGTTCTGTCAATGAAAGCAAAATCGACAGGGGCAGCTGCAGCCAAACTGCAGAATGTTTGTTTTTTTGTTTTGTTTTTCTGGCAATGTATAATTTATCATTATCATTTGTATTATAATTTTTAGTGTTTGTTAGCAAACTCTAAATACATCGGAACTATCGTTTATATTCAGCTTTATACTGCATAAAGCAGCCGTGCAGGAGTCAAAAAATATGTCTGAGTGTTATTGTTTAACACGTTACAAAGTTATATCCCACAGCTCTTATTTTCTTTATATTTTATTGTATATATTCCCAGAAAAGTGCTATTTAATCATTTAGGGATGAAGGTCCAACAAATCTTAATGTCTAAAACCAGTTTGGAAACTTTAGCATTTGTTTGTAAAACTGTACATACCTTTGCAATGATTTATTGTATCCAAGGAAATTACACCAGGAATTTTTAGGACAAACTGGGCCTTCATTTGTTGGTAAATATTATTATTATACAGGATTTATATAGCGCCAACAGTTTGCTCAGCGCTTTACAATATAAAGGGAGACAATACAGCAACAATACAGTTCAATACAAGAGGGATAGGAGGGCCCTGCTCCTTGGAGCTTACAATCTAGGAGATATTATTGGATATCTTCTGATTTTAGTATCAGGAAAACTGGTCCAAAATAGTGAAAGTGTTTATGTTAATCAACCAGAATACGACACAGGAAACTTTTTAATGACCCAAAGGTTACATACTTGTACCTTCAGGTGATTGGACACCCCAGTAAGAAAGTCTCTGTCCTAGTGAATCACCACTCCAACTTTAGCAGTGGGGAAATCTTTCTTTCCACAGAAGTAGTAAGTCCTTACAACTGACGCAAGTCTGTCAGGCTGGGAGGAGTCTTCCAATCCTTGACAGTTTAAGGGACATGGTCAAGAGAAGAGACTAAACTTCCGAGCTGCCCTCCAGCAGAGGAGCCATTTTCTAAAGGATCACCCAAATCAGGTGCAGTCGGTGTCATATATCAACCACCAAGGGGGCGCCAGGAGCCTGGTTGCCTTGAGGGGGTCCAACCAGATTCTATCAGGGCCAAAAATTCTCTTCCCAGCAATTTTCTGTGGCCCACATCCAAGAAGTGAACAACTGGCAGATGGATTACTTCAGCTGCCATAACTTTAACTAAGGAAAATGGTGTTTTCATACAAATGTTTTCAATCTGTTCTGCCAAAAATTGAAGGCTCAGGATGTGGACATCCTAGCTTCCGGATACAACAAACTGCCTCTATCTGTATCGATAACCAGGGATCCTCTAGCTCTGGCATCAGATTTTCTCAGTATCCCCTGGTCCAGGTTTAGACTAATTTATTATGCCTTCCATCCACAAATCATTGAGCGTTGAATGCTCCTCAAAGTACAGGATGACGACGTTTCCTCTAGCATCAAATTGGTCCACAAGAACTTGGTACACAGACATATTCAGACTTTTTGCAGACAACCCCTGACCTCCTTTCAAAAGGCCACATCTGTTATATCAAGCACCTCTATTTCACCCTGCAAAGTCTCTGGCTTTAATGGCGTAGCATGGTGTCAAAGTATAGAGGGGCTTCTGTTTCTGTGATTTCTACCATGCTGAAAGCAAAATCAACTGGTGTAAATGCAGTCCTTTCATACCCAGAGATTACTGTGGGCCTCATGATCTGCCCTTCCTGCAAACAGGTCTGCTGGTTTCGTAAAAACCTTTATTCAAGGTATTTCTGGTGTCAGGTCCCCTTTACAGCACCCCATGCTTAAATGGGACCTTTAACAGAGTAGTACAGCCAAAGCTCATTTGGCTGTACTTCTTCTATGGATCACTGGAGTGGAGTTCATTCTGCTCTTTTGTGACCTGTTTTCAGCCGACAGCGGGTTAAAGTCTGCTGTCAGCTGATATCACTCAGCCAGTCTAGACTGGGGAAATATCACAACCATATGGTTGGGATCCACCCAGGAGCCTGGACCAGCACCTGGCTCATCCTCTCTGCAATCCACTGAGACCCCCGAGCCATGCGCTCCCACCCCCTCCGCAAGCAGGGGGTGGAGCAGGCAGTGGTGACTGACAGTCATGACGCTCTGCTGATTGGTGTCTGATCACTCAATTCTCAGCCTTAGAGCCGGCTGGTGACAGATGCAGCATTGGATTGATGGTGCTTCCACTTTTTTTTTTTCTTTTTTTTTTTTTATATTATTTTCTCATAATTCTCTCTTATTTTGGTTTTACTTTGCCTTGCAGAAACCACCCTTTGAGCCCTTAAGGGATATTCCCTTAGAGATTCTTGTCAGCAAAGTAGCGCTTTTTGGTGACTTTCAGCCATGTCTCCAAACTGGTAGTAGAGTATTGTATTTATCAAAATTGGAGCAACCAGAAACTGGGGTAGTCCTGCATGGCAACCAATCAGCTTGGTTGCAATGCACAGCTGCTCTAATTTTGATAAATTCCCCCCAAAGTATCTTTTTTTCTTTCAGAAAGAGAAAAAGTACAAGGGTGGGTTGCATAGTTATTTATTATTGTGACAGCCACTTGCAGGCTATCACAGCAATTATGTGATCGAGATCTCATCCTCCGGCTCCTAATCAATAATACGAGACCCAGTGCTGTTGGTGACGGCTCCATCCCTGTGCTGGGGAATACACTATACCACCATTAGTCTGCACCAGTGTCTAATAGCAGTATTCACCAGCACCAGTGTCCTAATCACCAGCCGTACCAGTAATCTAATACCTATGTCAGCCAGAGCTAGTGTCCTGCTTGCCAGCCAGTACCAGAGTCACCAGCATCAGTGTATTGATTGCAAACCAGTACGTTGTTCAAATACCATGTCCTGATTTTTAGCTAGTACCCGTATTCTAAAAACAGGATCAGCCAGTGCATTGATCCCCAGTCAGCACTAGTACAGTATACTAGCACCAGTGCAAAGCAACAGTACCGTGGTCTCCAGCCTGTACATGTACAGTGTTTACCAGTGTTAGACAGCACCACTGTCTTGATCACTTGCTAGTAACAGTGTCAGCCAGCTACAATACCCTGATTGGCAGCCAATGCCAGTGTTCTAATACAATGTCAGTCAGTGCCCTGATTGCCAGTCAGCACCAGCACAGCATTCTAGAATCCATTGCAGTTCTCTAGCTTCAGCACAAGCCAGACAGAGTGCCCTGATTGCCACTGTTCTAATACCAGTTTCATCCAGTCCCCTGATCACCAGCCAGCATCAATACAGTGTTTTAGAATCCAGTAAAGTCCTTTTAGTACAAGTACAAGCCAGCAACAGTGCCCTATAGCCAGTACAGTATTCTAATACTAGTGCCACCAGCACCAATGTCTTGCTCACAAGTCCGTACCGGTACAGTGCTCTAATGCCATTAGCCAGGGCCCCAGTATAGAATTCCAGTACCAATACAAGCCAGCAACCGTGCACTAATGGCTATCCAGTAGCGTGTCCTAATTCAAAAGTCAGCCAGCAACAGCATCCTGATTGCCATCCAGCACTAGTACTGGTGTCACAGCTGCACCAGTACCAGTGTTCTAAAATCAGTGACAGCTAGCTACAATGTCCTGATTGCCAGCTACACCAGTACCATTGTTCTAAAACCAATGTAATCCAGTGCCCTGATCACCAGCCAGCACCAGTGCAAGCCAGCAACAGAGTCCTTAACACTGGCCAGCACTAGTACAGTGTCCTAATACCAGTTTCAGCCAGCTCCAGTGTCCTTATTGCCTGCCAGTACAGTGTTCTTTTATTAGTATCAACCAGTGCCTGTATTCTGATTGCCAACCAGTACAGTGTTCTAGTATTAGTGCCCTAATTGCCAACCAGTACTAGCAGCATATTAGTCGCAAGCCAATATCTGTGTTGGCCAATGGCCTTATTGCCAGCCAGCATCAGTGTCATCTAGTGTCTTAATCATAAGACAGTACTAGGATCAGCCAGTGTCTTGATTGCCAGCCCAGCACCAATGTTCTAATACTAGCATCAGCCAGTACCCTGATCACCAGCTTATAGCACCAGTACATTACTCTGATCATCAGCCAGAATGAGTGTCCTGATCATTAGCCAGCACTAGTAATCGTGTCAGCCAGTACCAGTGTCTTGATTACAAGCCAGTACTAGTATAGTGTTAAAATGCCAGTGTTGTGATTGACAGCCAGTACCATTACCAATCTCAGCAGTTACCAGCATCAGCCACAACCATTGTCCTGAAAGCCAGCCAGTGCCATCAGGTACCAGTACAGCCACAGCTGACTAGGTTACGTGTATTTGTGAATACACCCCAATCCTTGTAGGAGTACTTGCATATATCCAGCTAGATCTGAGAGTTCCTACACAAGAGTTCCATCCATTCCATTTTAGGGCCTCTGAAAATGTGATAGGTTGTCAGGAAATCAAATGCATAATCTACTCCTCTTGAAAACCTGAATGTGCTCCTTGGATTTTGGGCCCCTCTGTGGGGCTAGTCTGCGGAAAAAGTCTCACATCCATGGTATCCCCATACTCTGAAGTATACAAATGTGTTTTGGAATGTAATTCTATTTATGTCCATGTTTTGTGTAAGAAATATCTTATGAAAATGACAGGTTTGTATTAAAAAACAAAATCTATATACCATATTTTCCGACGTATAAGGCGACTGGGTGTATAAGACGACCCCCTAATTTTCCAGTTAAAACATAGGTTTTGGGCTATACTCGCCGTATAAGACTACCCCACTTCCGAGGCAACACCATTTAAAAACATCAGATTTTTTAATTGAAATGGTTATGACTTACCGGTACTTAAAATCCTTCAAAATCCTCATGTTCATCCTCTGACATCATAGGTTCATGAATGACATCTTGTGATACATTTGTAAGACAGTCATCATATGAATCAAATTCCAAATCAGATGGTTACCGCTGGATGTGCGGTAATACGGTAGCTTCGGCTACATACAGTATACAGTATATATACAGCCCGCTGGATATGCAGTAATGTACATACAGTATACCGCGCTGAGCCAAGCTGGCGCAAAACAAATTTCCCTATGACAGATTAATCTGTCAGCCCACTGGATGTGTGGTAAATACAGTATACTGAGTATATACCACTGTGGTATATACAGTATACTGAGCCAAGCTGTTTCAAAACGTACCAGTACGTCCCTACTGTAATCAGCCCGCTGGATGTGTGTATTTACAGTAGCTGAGGCTACATACAGTATACACTGGGCCAATCACGGCAAGTGATGTATTCTACTAATGAATACAAAGCCTACTCGGATTGGCTGAGGTTGTGACATCATCAGCCCACCTCTCTGACCTCAGCTTACTCATACGTTTTGAAACCTCTTGGCTCAGCGCAGTATACTGTATATACCACACATCCAGCAGGCTGACAGATTAATCTGTCATAGGGACATTTGTTTTGAGTCAGCTTGGCTCAGCACAGTATACTGTATGTACAGTATTACCACACGTCCAGCCAGCTTGACCCAAACAAACTCAAGGTTCACATTTTATACCCCGCGTATAAGACGACCCCCAATTTTTGGGGTATATTTTTAAGTATAAAAAGTAGTCTTATATGCCAGAAAATACTGTATTTACTTTTCCATGAAAAATATTAGATCTGCAAAATATCATCTCACCACTTGCTCAATACTTCAGCGCCCTACTTTCCAAAAAGGGGTAATTTTGGGGGCTCATCAGTACTTGGGGCTGTGGAAGGGATTGGGCGGCAGCACAGCCGCTCAGCAGCTTCCACCTGAGAGGCAGGAGACCAGACAGGAGGGGGGGACCTGGCGGTGAAGAGGGATAAATACCGCCAAATTAATGCCTGTCTCAAAATGATATAAAAATCCACTTGGGTACAGTGTTCAATGAGTAATTGTCGTTCAAAGCATCACAGTGCTGGAAATAGAAAAATGACCTGGTAAAAAAAATGCTGGTACTGAGGTAATTAATGAACATGAACTATGTAAAGGAGTTTTTGTGCAATTAAACCACTATATCAGAATGTTACCCAGAGTAGGTTCCATACTTGTCTGAACTGAAAGAGCTGTATTAAAATTTATTCCAGAATGCTTCCTTCTTTACAAGATAAAAATAATATCCCAGAGCAACTAGTCCTTATCTAGCTATATGTTAACATATTTCTGCATTGCATTATAGAATAAACACAGCAGGAACCACGTTCAGCTGTGTACCCAAAATAGTAATATTTCAGTAGTGGGTCTTCAGACATATCAAGCCTATCATCTATTGGTTTTCTCATACATTAAGATTAAAGTGTTACTAAACCCACAACAGTAAAATCAGTCTCTCTATATGCAGTAAAGCATGCTAGCTACACTCACTGTGGAACCTCCCCTTCTTCCAGTGTCCCCCTCTTATCTCCTGATAAGACATATCATGTGGAGTCGCTCTGCACATGCTCAGTTTGGTGTGTATTGCTAGAGGGGTTTTTTTTTCTTCTTGGGAGAGTGCACTTTGTCTGGACAGTGCCGATTGGCCCTGTACTGATCAAGGTCAGGGGTCCTGTATCCTCCTGGAGCAGAATGAAAACTCCTACAAGCTTTTACATGTCACAGGAATGCGCTAACTGCTGAAGAGAAAAGGTATTTAGTAGTTTATATTTACCTAAAAGATTGCACTTCCATGTTCTGTGTACCGTGGAAGACCAGATATAGTGAGTGCAGGGTCCAGGGTTTAGTAACACTTTAAGAGGGAAAAATCATGTTGCCTTAAAACAATTGTTGCAATTGACATTGAAAGAACTGAATTTCATGGCGTGTTTTTCATTCTAATTTCTGTTTAAGCCACAGGTTTCTACCACTCACAGCAGTGGCACTTGTGAAGAGCAACAGCTTTACTGGGCCAAAGGCACTGGATTTGGTACAGGGTCTACTGCTTCAGGCTGGGATGTGGAACAGGCCCTGACAAAGCAAAGATTGGAAGAGGAACATGTAACTTGCTTGTTACTGGTAAATATCGAGATGAGGGGATGGGTAGATTATAGGGATAATTATTCTACTCGCAGGTAGAATTTTCTTGGACTTGTTTGAGTTTTTTTTTTTTTCATTTTCTTTGTAAAAATTATGTACATTTTGTTCAAATACATAATAAAAAAAGATTTGATATTAAAAATATCTAGATTAAGAAAAATAACCAGTTATTAGGTAAAGTAAAACAGGTGGAATCTTTCACCCATATCCTTCATCTCTCAAGACTGGTGACAGGCTCTTTGCTTCTTTTTTTTGGCTCAGCCTTCCACCAGCAGCAATTAAGAGGGTTTGTTTTCTCCATTAGAAGAATTTTTTAATTTTGTACCATGGAAGTTGGAGACTCCTAGTGGCCATTGCAATGACAAAAGGATACATGAGTCTGGTGGCTTTTCCATATTATGTATAAGTGCAAAAGGCAATCACGAGAGCTTTGTGGTCTTAGAGGTAGGTTAGAGTCAGACTATCTCCCTAACAAGGTTCCCGGAGGTGCATGAAACTGGCTATTTATTGAATTTGCGAAATTGCTGCTGTCCATCCAGGATTTTTGTATCCGCTGAGTCATTTGTAAAATGCTCTATTCCACCCCATTCATGAAAATTAATGAGGCTGTAGATTCCTGTAGCAAGAAAAGCTTAATGTCTCTGCTGCTACTCCTTCACCAGCTCTGACCTTAGTACCAGTGCTTACATCTTCCTTCCACCTCACTTATGCCTTGATTTCAAGAGTTCTAGAGTGCATTAATCCACAGGAACAAGTCTAAACTCAGACTACAACCCAAATTTTTGATTGATTACCTTGGGTTACTGTACTTAATTAAAACTCATGAGTAACAATACTTTATCAAATATGGACATTCATGTTTAAATCATATCACATCACTGTTATGACTACATGAGATACTAAAAGCCATCTACAGGAAAGTTGCTGAGTCACGTGAGCTTTTGCAGTAGGAGTGCTTGGCATACCATGTCACTAGTGTAAGGGTTGGATCAGCTAAATAGAAATAAGGGGTGAAAATTAAAATCTCTAGAAATGTATTTGCTCAGCATTTTCAATTGCTGTTACATGGCTAATGAAGTAAAATTTAGATTGGAAAATTACAAGGCAGTCTTTGTAAGTTCTTTAAAAATACTTTGTAACACATTAAAATTGATCAGTGTCTAAGATTGCAAGATCGGATTGTGCTCACTCAAGTCCATATATTTGACTTGGAGATGAATCTTGTACAAGAGCCATTTTTCTGCCCTTTTTTAATGTGCTTATGTAGCTTTCTAGTATACACTGTAATGTAAACTAGTGGTGCACCAAAATGAAAATTCCTTGGACCGAAACCAAAAATTCAGGATTCATTTGGCCAAAAACCAAAATGGACAGCTTTGTATATATTATAATATATATATATATATATATATACACAATATATTCTATACTTTTTAATTAATATCATGAATTTTAATGAATATGAATTTCAAATTCAGCACCTTTTCAGCCAATAGGCTGTTTTCATGCAGATTTTTGTGCATATATGGTGAGTTTAAAAAAAAAAAAAAAAACGCCAAAATCGCACCCCCCCCCCTTCCCCCAACTGAAGCATTGGTTTAGAACAATGCATTTTTTAGGACTTTTTGCAGAAACGCACTGTAGTCCATTTAACATAGTCTCCTATTTGACATGTTTACCTCTATGCTTTATTGAGCTGTGTTTTTGGAAACGGTCAGGGACTTTTTTTTTTTTTTTAAAAACGCAAAACGTTGCGTTTTTGGTTCAGTAGACTTCAATGGAGACTGCAGAAAGCGCTTCAAAAAACTTGCATGCATAAAGCACAGAAAAATGGACAAAACGCAAACTGCATGGATGTGATCCATCCCTGAAATGCATTAAAAAATGCACACGTTGCTTTTTAATTCATTTTGTGTTTTTATTCTGCCCAGCAACAAGTTGGCCCAAAAAAACAAATTCAGAAAGCGTTTCAAAAACATGCATGTAAAACTTCAAAAAACACTGCAGTAAGCACTTGAAAACCCATCAAAAACGCACATGCTTTTTGATGCATTTAGACCTATGAAAACCGTATCCTAAACATGGCAAAATCCCGCGTTTTCGACAGCCTTTATCGTCACCTTTTTTCCTATAGGCAAAATACCGATAACACTATTTTCAGCCAATACATTTCTGCCGCATATACATCAGTGCATCCCTAATGTGAACCTTGATCCATTTTGTTTTGTATTACAGCCTTGTTTTTTCCTTCTGTTTAGATTTAAACCTCTACTGTGAGAACATGGGGGGTGGGGGATGACTTCTTAGCTCTTTGCTGTGTATAAGACATGACTTTGCTGTGGAAACTAGCTTGCCAAGTAGTCAAAATTAGATCCACTTCACGTGATAAATTTACAGACAGTTATTTCATAGTTTTTGCTTTTTTTTTTTTTTTTTTTTGAATGCTAGAATAACCCACACACATTAGACAGCTATTTCCCGATCAAAGTGTTATTCCTAGTTTTAGAAGATGATTATATTGTCGTTCTTTATAAGAGGGCCTACGTGAGGCAAACTAGGCGCACAAACCCAATTCTTACAGCACTAATTTTTTAATCAGAATAATCTAAAAAGCTCATCACCTACAGAACAAGGATCCTCTAAAACAAAGTGCCAGTTCACTGTCTGGGGTCTAGACTGGGGCCAGTAGTTAAAAAAAAAAAAAGAAAAAAAAATTGCCCGAGCATCAGTAGGAGTAACTAATGCTCTAATGTCGGTGATCAGTTTTTATTATCCATAAAGGGAGTAAAAATGTACCCATATATCCAATGAAAATAAAAAAATGCCTTGTCATTGGTGGGAGTAAAACTGTCAGTGGGAACAATGGTGCCACATTATCCCTGTCAGTGGGGTGAATATACAGCCCCTGTATTGGTTTCAGTGAGAGGAATGTAGTGTCCCAAGCATTGGTGTCAAAGGGAGAAAAACTATGTCCCAACATTGGTGTCAATGGGAGGATTATAGCGAATCAGCATCGTTAAGAGTGCAAGGGATTAAGTACTTCAGCATTGGTGGCAGTGCAAGGAATTCAGTGACCCAGCATTGGTGGCAGTGCAAGGAAATCAGTGACCCAGCTTTGGTTTCAGTGGGAGGAATACAGTGCCCTAAGCATTGGGGTCAGTGGGAGGAGTACAATGCCCTAGCATTATTTTCAGTGGGTGGAATACAGTGGCACAGCAGTAGTGTCAGTAGAATTTACTGGTGTGAAGACTGCATGTCCCACACTGTTCCTTATGTTGATATAAAAGGAGGGATTATGCAGACACTATTGGGTAATAGACCACTCTTCCTGATGGTGCCTGAAATAGGTTGCCAGATGCTAAATTGCTCTGTTCCAGTGCCCAGCAACCACTTTCACTCTGTAATCAGCCCCTTAAATGCAGCTTCTAATGAGAGAGCCCTGCATGCTGGCTTTCTTGTTGTCCCGACTATACAATGTGACTGGTGTCTCTGACTTACAGGAATGGGTGAAAAATTTGTCTGGTAAAAAGGTTTAATTAGGTGTATTTAAACTGTGGTTCTATTGGTTTGCCTGGGTTTTTGACTTTAAAGGGAACTCCAGGTTTCCTGTCACTTTTAAATACGTTCTTTTGGTCAGCCTGGTTAAAATAAATTTGTACCATACCAGAATTGTGTGGCTACTGTTACACACTGTAGTAGCATTTGCTACATACAGTAGGTGCTGTTGTCTTCCTGGAGAGGTACAAGCAACGTCCCATCTGCTGTCGGAATGGATGAGAGTTGCTTGCACTGTACCTCAGCCATTTAGGAACAACATTTTAGTTTTTTCAATGAGTACAAGGCATTCTCTGATTAACCAAGATTGCTATTGAATGTTGTTTCCTATATCACTCTGCATTTTTGTGTTTTCATAAATTGTGAATCTCTACCTTGTCAAACTTTCAAATTAAAATATTGAAACATAAAAATAAAATATTTTAGGTAAACTATAATTTAGTATGACTGTAATGAATAGTAAACAAGTAGTGTTCGAAAACTTACTGTTTACATTTATGTGCTAGAGTATATGAACTACAAATGGAAATATTCTGTCTTTTTTTTTTTTTTTTTTTTTTACAGGTTCTTGCTAGTTATATAAATCCATCAGGATGTGCAGTTAATGGTGAAGCACCAGCCAATGAGAGTCGAGGACAGAATAGTAATGCTCTCCCATCTGTCTTGCAAGAACTACTAAGTCAGTCATGCCTCATCCCAGCCATGTCCTCATACCTAAGGAATGATTCAGGTACATTTCCCAAAGCTTGCAAACATATTGTGAAAGTTCTGACTGAATTCATAATTTACAGCAAATCGTATTTTATATTAAATGATTAAATAGCGGCATCCTGCCTCAGAGCACAGACTATAAAATATCCTAACTATTTTTACCCATGAATGCCTATTCTGTGTCCTCCTCTGACATAGTTCCCCATTGTTTCCTGGGCCTGTCTTTCTTTGACTTTATGGCTAGGCCTTGCCAACTGCTGTAAAGGAACTCATACTGGAAACACGGATGGCAAATGGTGGGACTTAGCCATTAGGTTTGGGAAAGACAGGCCTCAGTAACCAAGCGAACCTAAATTAGAGAAGAACAAAAGAGGCTCTTTTTTTTTTGACCGATAACAGTAACAGGCATCTTTAGGTGTCATTTTTGTGTAAGGTTGTTTACTTTAAAACTGAATTCCAAGGTAAGCAAAAATGATCTACATACAAGGAGGCATATGTGCATTCTTACTTGAGTTTTGGTGCGTTTTATGTATTTTTTTCCAGATCTGTATAGAAATCCACTGTGAGACTTTGCCTTCGTACAGGAGCTTCTTTTATTACGGCCTGTCCCTGTGCAAAGTGAAGGGCCTTTTATCTGTCCTACCTGACATTATTTTTTCTAAATTATTTATTGGTGCTGCAAAACTGCATTTCTGTGTTTCTTGCCTAGGTGAGAAGTATGTTTTTTCTCCTCCCCTCGCCGTGCGTGTGCACATATGTGCCGCTGGGCTTCGGGTGCTGAAAGAGCCCTATGGCACAGCTGCACATGCACTGCTTTCCCTGACCACATGCAAAGACAGCTATCAGAGAAGTCCCAAACCTTTGCCATCTTTGTGCATGCACGGAAAATCATTTGTGCATTAGCCATATTAGCTGAGAGGTGGACTGAAATTCAGTTTTGCTAATGTTTTTATCACTTTGCATAATATATTGATTTTCACACCTTTGACGCACTTATACGGCTTTTACTTCATAATTTATTTAAAACACCCTGAACATACTTTTTTTTTATAATAAGCAGATAAATGGACTTTTAAGAAAATAATTGCTAAATAAATTCAGCAATAAAAATAATAGATTGACCCTACACTTATTAGTAGATAAACTAATAAGCAATTTTTATTTCTGTGCTACTGAAAAAAAATTGCAAATTATCCTTCAGAATAGTGTTTCTCAACCCTTTTTCAGTCATGGCACCCTTTAAAATTCTGTACAATCTCGAAGCTCCCCATTCTGAAATGTAAAAAAATAAATTAATAGTTCTACATAACACAGCAACATCCACACATGCAGGACACCCACCGTTGGAGGTGGTTTATTCTTCCAAAGCAAATACACCTTTGCACACTGGTACTGACTATTATTGCAATGTTTCTCTTCTTTCTCACTCAGCTAATATGACCCCCAGTCATAACAGAGAGGGGCAAGCAAGGATGCTGTGCAGGTGCCCCACATCCTCCATATCAACCGAAGACATCATTGGTTGTTAGGACGACAGTGGGTAGAAGGCTGCAATAGTGCACAATGAAAACCCGTGGCTTTGTGCAACTAAAAGGCAGGCTTCATCCACCTTCTGGCTTGTGTACAATGCTTGGGCAGTTTTTTGCCATTTTGCCAAGGCACTCTGGTTAAATAAAAAAAAAAAAAAAGGCTGCTTCAGAATATGCTGATCATTTGGCAAAATCACTATAACATATTCGTCTATATTTTCGTGATATCCATGAAGCCAGTCAATTCTGAATACCTGGACCTAGTGGAGTAGTTGAGGAATTGCCAGTACAAAAGTTCTTAATTTCTATAGTGCATTGGGGGGCCTGGAGCAGTATCTTCACTCTGCCCTCTTTCATTTCTTATTTCCAGGAGCCTCCTTTTTTTGTCTTAGGTGGTATATGGTAGCCTCTCTCAACCAGGGTGCCTTGGCAAAATGTTTAAAAACTGCCCCAAAATTGTATACAAGCCAGCTGGTGGATCAAACCTGCCTTTTAGTTACACAAAGCCAGCTGCCGGCATCCTAACAACCAATTGCATCCTTAGTTGATAAGGAGGACATCGGGCGACTGCACAGCATCCTTGTTTGGCCTTCCCCTGCCCCTCTTTATCAGCAGTGGGGTCACATTAGCTGAGTGGAGAGAAACTAACGGAGAAACACTGGAATACTAGTCAGTACCAGTTTGCAAAGGAATATTTGCTTTGGAAGAATAAATCACCTCTAACGTTGGGTGTCCTACACATGTGGATATTGCTGCATTATGTAAAACTATTAGAATGGGGTGCCTTGAGATTGTGCAGAGTGTCAAAGGGTGCCTTGAGATTGTTCAAAATTTTAAAGGATGCCTTGACTGAATAAAGATTGAGAAACACTAGTATATGGTAGTGACAGAAGTGCTCAATGTAATGACATGTTTGCTTGTCAGCCAATTATTAACAGATCACTGGCATGTAGTACGATCTGTAAATTCTGTATCTTCCCCACAGCCATTTTTTTTTATTGGGTTGTCTTAACTTTAGCCTCTATAAGGTTTGAGACTTACCAAAGTGGTCATGTCTGCTTTGTGCAGTAAAGCATAACTGTTTTTAAATATAGATGACCTAATGCAATTTGTCCTTCAGTCAAAAATTTGTTTTAGTCAATAGTGCAGGGATTTCGAAATTGCGACCCGAGGGACGGATGCACCCCATTGCTAGACTTTATTCATCCCTTGGGGCACTATTCCTCCAAATGATATGCGACACTATTCCACCAACCCTGAGGCCATGTTTATTCTCACTGATGCTGAGCCCAGGAAATTTTCTACCCCAGCTGGCTGCAATCCGGACCCTAAAATTTCAGTGCTGGTTCACATATATACGGATAGGATGCGGTTTGAACTGCATCCAAACCTCATGACATGTGGAAAAACATTGCTTCCTATGCTGCGCTGGTGGTGCGGATTCAGTGCGGTTTGAAAGAGTCATGTACGATTTTCTGAATAGTGCGGTCCAGTTCAGGTGCGGATTACACGCTATTGACTTCTGTGGGAACCATTTCTAAACCACATTTGTGTGAACAGGATAATCCTGAGAGTTAATCCTGTCATGAACCTGATGTAAAACTAACATGAACCGTTGAACAACTACTGTGTATCATTTGGCTGTGAAACCGGAGCTTCAGTCCACAGCACGTGTGAATCAGCTGAAGGACAGTAGACTGGCCCTTTGAAAAGTTTTGAGGCCCATGCACTAGTGGCTGCTAGTTTAAGACTCAGACGTTTGAGTAATCTGGCAAATCTTAATCAATCCCATTTCAGATAACCACTTAGGTCTAATTCTTTTGACAGCGATTTTTATTTCAACACAAGGTTTTCTGCTCCGTTCTATTTCTTTTCACCTTTTATTGTCCAATTTCTGACGAGTAAATGTGTTTTTCTTCCCAAACACTTTGGCAAGACAGCTTTATTAGCATTGTGAAAGATTTTGTTTTGGTTATTGCTATAGATTTACAGTTTAGCTTTTAGAAAAAAATTCTGAAATCTTTGTCATATCAACTAAAAAATTGGTCTCTGACCATGTGCAATTCCTGTCATGTTTTAAGCTGTTCTGCCTATGGGATTTGGACAGGTAATTTCAAAAACAGAATTTTATAGAAACGTGAGCCCTGTATTTTTGTTTGCACGTTGGAGAGTGTGCATTGTGAACATTTTCTCAAAACTGGGCTAAACATTTTTCCATTAATCTTTTCACATTTTACAATTGTAATGGAGAAAAAACAGATTTTAGTTGTCACCTGCCTGTAAATGAATTAGTTTACTTTAAAAAGTTTACTAGGAACTTCCACAGAAAAGTCACTGAGCTCACTTTTAAATGCTAATAGATAACAGACATTGAATTGTTTGGCATGCACTATAAAACTCCCCTTTCACATCCATCAAGGAGTGACTTTATAATAGACAGTAGTCAGATTTATTTATCACCATTATTTTATTAATCGGATCATAGACAATACATGTTTCCATTTTGTAATAAATAGTGTTGTTTATTTTCATCAGTTAAAACGGGAATTTGCATTTATTTAAAAAAAAATGTTTTGCACTATTAAGCAACCATGTTCTTCAGTTTTTTGTATATGTTTGCATCATTGTTGGTGTTCATCAGTATTTGCATAAACCAAGGTTCATTGCAGTTAGTTTCACCTTTCATTTTACTCCTTTTATTTTGAGTATTATGTTGCCAAGCACACAAAGGACACAACTTCCTGCATTTGATCTGTTGCAGATTAAATAAGTGAGACCAGGTACATAGTTACTGTGGTTGAAAGCTGTCCATACACAGATTGTCATAAATACCCCAGCTTTGTGGCAGACGTTTTGATAGTTTGTCTGTTTACGCCAAAGCATTCAAATGTCAATTGCTGTGTGGACATGGATAAAACAGCACAGGAATCCTGATTGTTTTTATTATAGCAAGGAGACTGCTGAAGCTCATTAGGAACCCTTTAGAGGACACAACTTAAGATGCAAATCCCACGTTGGCTCATGATAGACGTGATATTGTGTCTAAGGTGCAGTAACAGGTTTGTTGATTTGATTTCAAGACTCAGTTTCAGGTGATCAAACATATTGGAAATTGTGTAATTCGGTGCACTTGACAGATTAGGATAATGTCTAATATCCACTTGTTGCAAGTAATTCACTGAACATCACTGAACACTGGATGTGTGTATTTGTCAATCAAGGAATCATTTTTGGGTACCTGATCTGAACACAGTTATTTCTTCATTCTTAGACAAATTAATTGTTTTTAGTATTGACAAGCAACTATACCACACAGTACAGGCTTTCTTGTTCAGTGTCAAATGTTGAGCTGCACATTTTTTTTGTGAATGTTCTACATATTCATCTCTTCTACCTGGAGCTGCTAATGTTAATTCTTAAGTCACTGAAAATATTGGTGAACAATTCAAGGTACCCCTAGACAATAGATAGCAGTAATTTATTGATTAGG